AAAAGCCTCTATGGGGAGTGGTCAATTAACCTAATATGTATCTATGTATAGGCAGTGCTCTCTCTATTACTAAGTAATATACATTACTGTAACAAACACACCAGCAACGTTTCAAACTGGCAAAATGACAATGTAAACCATACCTGACAGTTTGGATATCTAAACAGTCATGAGATGCAGCATAACAATCGTATGACCACAAACTACATAATATCAATGACATTTTTTGCATGAAAACTCAAAATATATTAGTAAATACCAACACAATGTGACTGAAGCCTAGTATGTCAATGGACTGCTGGCCCTTAAATTTGTTGTAACAACACAATTGCTATAAAGTTTACATGAAGGATATGGGAAACAATTTAATTCTTTTATTTGATAGTTAGGATCTCACTATAAGTCATTGACATGACTTTGAAAATTAGTGACAGCATTTTAGAATCATTGATGGTGTAATATAATTATGTAAATAGGAATTTGTTGTGCAGAATTCTCAGAACTGGCTCTAAATGAAATTTTCATGAATAATGTTTGGAAATGAAGTCAATTATCAAAAGCTTTCAGATATTCGTGGTGAAAGCTCTGGGTTGATTTCCTTTTTTATGCACATTCTTTCAGAAAATGGATTATTTCTGTGCCACATCTTTGGTAATGTTCTCCTTCTTTACCTGCCTAATGAGGTTAGTAAATATTGAGTTTGGATTAGATATTACTAACATCCGTTGTGAAATCCTTGGTGATCCTCCCAATAAATCCAATTGGCCTGCAGGAACACTGTAACAAACCAAATGAGCGATTTAAAATTTTCTAGATTTTTTGAGGAAGCTTATAAAACTGTAGGAAGATGACAGCCAAAATTCCACTGTGTGCAATGAGTTTTCAATTTATTTGTTTTTAAAGGGGATTCATTCTTTTTGGGACCTTGGCATGCAGTTTACTGTTAGTAGTTTTTACTTTTTGAATAAATATATTGTAAACAATAATTACTGACAATTTTGTTATACACAATTTTGTTTATGGCCCTGATTGAACAGGTTCATTGGATTGGAAAATAAGTGCAGGTATGTTAACCTTTTATCATCCATGAGTGATCAAGAGAGAATTTCTCCTTTTCATATCAATACAATATCAAGTCAACAAGTGAGGAGAAAAAAGAAAAAAGAAAAATATCAATTGGGGATCTGATTCCAACATCATTGTGTGGCTAACAAAAGTTAATAACTGACAAATATGTCCAATCAAACCTCAAGCATTTCAAATTTCAAAATTTTCAGGGGGGGATGCACCTGGACCCTCTCCCCCCCTTCTAAGGGGGTCAGGTGCATACTCCCTAGCATTCTGGGACATATTAATTTGCTTAGCAACATGCCATGTTTGCATGCAAACACTTAAATTCAGCTCCCCTAACTCTGTTCAGATTATGTACATCCATTGCATTTTACTACAATAAACAACTCTGGGGATGGATTAATTTTGATACTTTCTTTTTTCGGGGGATCCTCTGATTATTATCTTGATATACTCCTTTCCAGTAATTTTTACCTTCACACTGTTAATTTCACCCAAGCCTTAATGTGCCATGTTCAAGTATGCTTATCATTTACTTTTCTTGCAGCTGTTTCCTCATTGGATTACTTCTATGCAGTATTTACAGCACTCATGTTTTTTATTTGGGCTTTATAAATTTCGACTATGGATATAATATGAAGTTTAATGTTACAATAGGTGAGTTGAGAAGATACACTATATAACTTGTCTGTGTTTATAGAATAATTATACTAAGCTTAGATGGTTATCCTGTTGGGAGATCCTAGTCAAAATCAAAATGTTTTAAGGGAAAAACAGCAGGGATCTGGTACTTGCATATCGAGCAGTTGTTAATACAGCCTATAAACGATTAATATGATAATAATAATAATAATAATAATAATAATAATAATAAGACGAAGAAGAAGAAGAAGAAGGAGAAGAAGAAGAAGAAGAATATAGTAATAATAAATGATGATGATAAATAATAGTATTTAAAAAGGGAACCCAACTTGTTAAGGCAGCTTTAAGTGGGGCCCTCAAGAAGGAATAAGTTGCTGTGTTGGTTTTAATATAATGTTAAAAACATGAATAAAAAGTAAAAAGATCATGTAAAAAAGTATTAAGTTTTGCTTTGAAAACAAAACAAAAACAATTTAGAAAATAATTTATTTCTCATGCCTGGTTGACTGGGATTGGATCAGCAGGACAAACCATGATATGGGTGAATCAGATTCAGCAGTCAAGATCTGTCAAGAGGCTTATCTTGTCCACCTTTCTTGAGTTTTTTCAGCTTGCATCTGGCAAGGTTTTTCAAGCCCTACTTGTGCCATCCCATACAGTCCTCACACAGGGAATTATCTGTATCTTATCACAAGTTTTACAAGAACTGCAATCAAATAACTTAAATAAAAAACAAATATTCTGATAAAATTAATATCAAGCAAGTAGCCATTTCAGTATTACTAATGATTTTTGTTTGTCATTTAGGTGTTATCAATTTACTCAGTTGGTTAAGCTGGTGTTTGACAGTAAGCATGACTGGAAGTTTAACAAATCGACAGTGGTTCATTGTGAGCTGTACTAGCTCTTATGGACAATGATATTCATCATAATCATAGAGGTCAAAATGTTGTGGACTCTAGAGGCGTAGTTGGGTGAGTAGGCAACAAATTTTGACCACTGCGATGACGATTATCATTGTCAGTAACAGTACAGACAAGGTTAAACCACTGTTGATTTGTTCTTTATCACAATATCAACATCAATTAAAACAATTTTTTTGGTGCATGAGAAAGATCGTGACACATTAATGCAAGCAAAGTTGTTTGCACTCATATCATCAACAGCAAATTGGCCAATCAGATTGCAACATTACTGCCAATTGGGTTAAAAATATGATCTGTCTTCACTGACTCCATATATTTATTTACTGATCTTCTCTGGCCTCTCCGTTACAGGTGATAATAATTCTTTACACCCTAACAACAGCATCCATATTCTCCCTTCACTGACTTAATCTCTATACATTTCATTCAGAAGTGACAAGGAGAATTCAAAGGGAGAAATTAGATGCTGGTCACTCTTATGGTTTAACGGTTAAATCTTGGAACAAACTAATCCTGTCAAACCACAGGGAGCCCATACAATCTGTTTGTGTGGCTGACTGTTGTTTTATAGTGAGTGTACCAGATTTACTGTTTTCCTCACCTATAGTGATATATTGCTGACTATGTATATACAGTGTAAATCAATGATAAATAAATATGTTGAATTACTTTACCTGTGGTGTATAGTCGTCCTTTTGCCTCAAAAATGTTTCTTTTTTTTAGCGATTTTGAATTTGAGGCAAAAGGACGACTATACACCATAGCTAAAATAATTCAACGTTTATTTTTCATTGATTTATATACATACAGTCAGCAATATATCACTATAGGCGAGGAAAACGGTAAATCTGGTACATTCACTATAAAACAACAGTCGGCTACACAAACAGATTGCATGGGCCTCCTATGGTCAAACCTAATTCAGTTCCACCTTAATGATTCTATCAAAATTGATTATAATGATATGATAATAGTTTCAAATAAGATGTCTCATCAAAATAGCAAATCAAATTGTTGATACACAGTAGTTATGTACAGTAGCCTCAGGTTAAAGTGGTGTAGATTTAGAATATCTGTTTTTCATTAGTGTTCAAGGTGAAATGAGAAACTGTACAGCATCCATTTCAAAAAATAATAGGCATTCCATTGCTGTTCTCCAATCAAATCATATTACCAACAAGATAAATTGATCAGTTAACATTTCCTTTATAGCATTACAAACAACAGCCTTACGTGTGGAAATGTGCTTTTGTGTCATTTGGCGTGTTTTTCCTCTTAGGTCTGGAGGTAAATGGAAAACTCATTGTTTATCAAATATCCAGTTAGAATTAATAGCTGTAGGTGATCAAAGTGGTTGTAAGGACTGTACTTTCTACTAATTTCATTCCTGTACAATAGTTGGAATGGACGGTAACACAATATGTTCATCACACCTCAACAGTCTGTCAGGTCTGTGACTCGGCACTTTGGTGAGAAACTGCCCAAAAAAGTTGTCACAAAATGAAAACTATAATTCCAAACTAAAAAGATGCATTAATCTTTTGCAACCAGAAAATTTTGTTACTTAATTTAATTTTGTATTCTTTGATAGCCAATATTGCAGTGATTTTTCAATATATAAATATGATCCTTGTGCAACCAAATGCTGGCTTTGTTTTCAAATCAATCCTTGGAACAGGCTGACTGGTAACACAAGCTGAAACTCATAGAAAAGACAAATTCGTTAAATTATAGATGAACTGTCTTCTTCTGTCTTCAGTTGGGTGACTTTCCTCCGATCTTATGGACGTTTGATGCACATTCATTATGGCATCTAGGAACTTCTCCTCTCTGTTATTTTTGGTACAGGTGAGTCTTTTGAAATGAGACATTGTTTTATTTCATTTTTCCTTTGACGAGAGTTCAAGGGGGTAAAAGGTAATTTGGTAAAATTACATAAGAAAAGTAAAGTTGCAACAAATGAGTTTGCCTTCGTCAGAGCGAATGACGACGGGCTAACGCTCGAAACGTCAGCTTTTTAACTCTTTATGGTGGTCAATTTACAATTTCAACTTAATTGATGTTCAGTTCTTATTAACCGAGCGGGAGGTCTGTATGGAAGAATCTTGACCGAGGTCGCCAGTACAGACCGAACGCAGTGAGGTCTGTACCAGCGACCGAGGTCAAGATTCTCCCATACAGACCGACCTAGCTCGGTTGTTAAGATGTTTATTATATGGCTGTGTCTTATATGCCATTTTTTTTATATTCTTTGTACCTTTTTTTTCTAGACCGATCTAGATGCCGGTCTAGATGGTAAAATCTAGACCGCTTTCAATATTGATTTCAGCCAATCAAATTCGTGAATTCGGTAGTTCCCAGTCCTTGTGAGACACAGCCATGTGATAATATCAAACAACAAATCAGGTTTGTTTTTTAGCAACCCCTACAAATATTTTTCATCCCTTAATTTCATTTTATAGAAAAATCCGAGCCCCAGATGGATTTTTCTATTACATTACGTTAAAATTGTTTCATCTTTACATGCTCATTTCATTTTTCCCCATATTAGCAAACTGTTCTGTTTTGTGACAGTTCTTTATAATGCTATCTCCTTTGATATTTTCTGCCGGAGAATATACTTTTCAGCCCAGTCAGAATGTGCTGTTTGGCTTGAACCATCAAACATGTCAATAGGTTTTTAGTCCACTGTTACCCCCTTGTTTACGCAACACGTATTTTTTTAAATTTTATTTCAGTTTTCTAGCAGACGATGCAAAGCATCAGCTATCAATGCAAAAAAAGAGAAGAAAGAGTTCTTGAGGACTTTTAGTAACCGTAATTCATTAAAACGTTCATGGTTGTAACACTCCGACCAAACCGTCACAAAAATAGCCCAGACCTGTAAGTTTGTAATTATATAGTTTAATTAAATAAATTAAAGCTGTATTTAGTACACATTAAAATGCATTTTTTTTTTTTTTAACAATTTTGCATTCTTGAATTGATAAAGCGTTCTTAAGTAAACGATTAGCGCGTGAAAGATACATCACTGGTCATTTTACCAGGTTCTGAATTTATTATATTTAGGTAACTGTATTGTTTACCGTCGGTGCAATGCAAACGTCTACAATGCAAATTCAATTAATTTTAGAAATGAAATATGGGAACGGATCAGCTTTTTTAGGTAAAATTGCAATTGAAAGTTTGTTATAGTAGTGACTTGAGAGTCAATAAATAGTAACAACTTTTGATTCGATGTTTTGTTTTGTTGTTGTATTTTGTTTTGTATTTATTTATTTATTATTATTTTCTGTACATTTTAAATTTAACATTAACATTTTACATTACGCTATTCTGCATCTCTTACACACGCCCTAGTATGGCAAGATGTTGATATTTTGTTTCTTCAAAAATGTTAATTGAGTTGCGAGCCAATTCTTCCACGTACTGCGGGACCCAAGCTCCCAGGGAACTGAGTTAGATTGAATAGGCGTTGGAAATGTAACACGCGTCAATAGTGTTCTTTATTTTCCGTTTTCTTTACTCTCCTGCTCAAATAAAGCTCTCATACATGACTTTAGACTCGCCCAACGAATCTTTCATCAGCTAGAAGTTCTTCATACACAATTTATTCAAGAAAAAATGAATGATTAACCTTCCTTTTAAAAAGTGGGTGCTATTTCCATTTTACCTGAGACCATTCTTTATTTATCATTAAACTGTCAAACAATTCTTCATGATCCTATTAAGATGACTTTGTCGATCCCACGAATGGTTTTCCCTTTGTATTTTCTTTACTTAACGACGTCGCTAACTGTTCCTGGGTTTCAGGTTGGCCGTTGAACACTTTTCTCCTTACAGATAAGCTTTTACAAAGAGAATATTGTGGACATTAACAAAGGCTGTGGAAATTTACAACAGCAACAGAAAAAACATCCTATGATCAGCTATTGTGTCAAAAAATTAACCCAGCCAGATGTTTTCTTATGCGAATGAGTCATTTTTAAGCTTCAAAATACGCCCCAGTTAAGTAAATGCCTCGGAAAATAAACAAATTGGGTAGAAATCGACGAAGCTGCTTGTGCATTTTGTAATTTATGGCCATGAGTGATGTTTCGAAGTTTTCGTTAAAACCTTTCAAAGCATTACGAGTTACAATAAATCATTAAATGCGCGGACAGATCATGCGATCTTTTGTCCTTTACATTTTGAAGTAGGGTAAATTAGATCTTTTTGGAAAACAACATCGCAGGCCGTAAGCTGAATTACGTTGAATTTACAATGACTATAAAAATATATAAAATCTACATCTGAAAAAGAAACATATGTACAAGTTATAATGTAAAAATTTACAATGAATAAAAGAAAATGTAAAATCTGTTTCTAAAAAGAAATTTATAGATTTATATAAATACTTAAGCTATAATATGAAAAAGTATTGTGAACCTAAAATGACGGTCGCTCGTGAAAAAATAAACTTAAACAAAATATTTGGTGGCGTTGGCGATTATAAAACTAGTCTGGTACCGCTTTGTTTTACAGACAAGTACTGTGAATTTGTTTGTGCCCCTTAAAGAAATTAGGCAGTCGTTGACATTTGGCAGTAGATGGTGTAGAGAGTGGTCTGTATTATCTACAATGTTCTTCAATAAGCGCTCGGTAAGGGCCTGCCGCCTTGCATGGATGGTGGTGAGCCAAGACGTCTGGGGGCGTCAGAGTAACTGGCGTACTGGGGAGATGATCCTCAGGGCGCGCCTTTGAAGCTTCATCAATTTCAAGTTACATTAATCGAAATACTTTTCAACAGTTGATAAATTCTCGCGTGTTTTCTTTGAGTTGATCATTTGATGCAATAGCAAGCTTTACGTTTTGGTATTCTTAGAAGTTAGGTTCGTTTATTCATTTCTTGAATTTTTAAGAGAATGCTTCACGGAAATCCTGATGCACTCTTTTGCCTAATTATGCAATTGCCACTGAACAATAAGGAACGAGGTTATCTTGTTACTTTATGATAATGTTATTCATAGGTGACAAGAGTTGTGGTTACTTGAAACTCTGAGTCCTTGGGTCAACACAAACCTCGAAGCCAGTTTATTGCAAAACTGCCACAAGAAACCCACACCCACGCACAGTATCAATAACATTAAACACGACACTGCTGGATACGAAAACCACAAAACCACGTTTTGTAAAAAAAAAAAGGGGAACGCACGCCCCCAACCTGCTAAAAACAGCTGCCGTGCCGTCAACCCTGGAGGCTGAGGTACACGGAAAACTACTAATACAAATTGACTAACAACAAAATCTCCAAAGTTACAAGCAACATTTTGAGTATAGCGGGAGTAAGAGTTCAGACATAGACTGATTCAAATTTGTAATGAACAACACTGTTTATCACAATAAGCTACCTATAATTCCACTAAAACAGACCCAGTCCTCTGATCCGTACTGGCAAATAGCTATTTCTGCCTGATTCGCGATGCTCCGCTCTTAGAAATACCATTTTCTATTTGAGCCATGTTCTTAGTTGCAGTGTTGATTATTTTGTGTTCATAAATTCCAATTTGTGATCGCCTTTTACGAAGAGTTGTATTCTTGCGACTTTGAAGAAACAGAATCTTTCCCTTTTCCTCATTTACAACTCGTTTGGCCATCCTGACATTTTAATCAGTGGGCTTTATTTATTTGGCGGATTAAGTGCGCATTATTCTACATCTCGCAATTATTCAAGTAGTACTTTCCAATCAAGTGCGATTTCTGACTAGCTTATCCTTGTGTTACATGGGTGTTTTAGTGAATATATTCTCAATCATTTGTTTTAAGGAATCGACATTTATACGCGGGGAAAAGAAAAGTGAAGATGCTCTTGCTTTTGTTACTTTAAGTTTCGTAAAATTGCAGGTGCACACAAAGAATGGGTTGAATCTCCCCTAAGCAAAGCGATCAATGTACCGCGTGGGATCACAGGATAAAACTCTGGTGTAAGTCAGATTCAAATCATCCTCTGAATTGTGATTTTTTTGTGTGTTTTGTTTGTTTGTTTTCTTTTTTTAACTTTATATAAGAACGGTGTTTCTGATTGAGTATTTTAAATCGTGTGCAATATTCTGGCTGACGCCGGGTAAGAACCGCGGGAAATTGCGTGGTGTTTTCTAATTGAGCAAAGAATGCTGTGGGCTCATACTGAAAATGATTTCGCTTGAAGGGCACGTTCGGATAGTTATCAAAGGCTAAGTCATTATATGATTTGCGTCATTTTTTTTTTACTTAGAGTTCTCATTGACTTATGGTGATGTCAGCCTATATTCTGATTGGCAGTTGTGATAACTTTAGTTTTGGCTTATTGAAACTCAATTGATAACTACTCTATCAGTGACAATTTTATATTGTAAAGAGAAAATCCACAAGGGTTACTCCCACCAATGAAAGAGCTACCTAAACCTTTTTTCCATTGGCCAGTCAATGAATTACTTTTCACTAGCTCAGACACTTTGCTTTGGAGCCGTATAATTTCATCAGTTATAGAAAGAGTGTACTTAAGTTATATCTTGAGTTGAAGAATTAATCAAATCGTTTGGAAGAGGAGTTATTTAAAAAAAAGTATCGCCTGGCCGCTCAGTTACCCTTCAGTAGCTTCCACAGAGAGCCTGGTAAACACCTTAAACCTGCTACCTTCCTGATGGACCGCTGACCTAGATACCACGGAAGAGGACAAGGAAAATGTAAAATATGATTTCAATAAAAAGTAATCATGTTCTGTTGAACATTACTAGCAGTTTCCGAATGGTGAGTCTATCACATGCATGCATATGCAAGGAAAAACTTCAGACTGGTTTTCTTTGCTAGTTCCTTAATTCATAACAAGAGCTGGGATAAGCGTGAAGCTGCAACTTTTAAGGCAGCTTGGAACGCCACAGAAACGTTAATAATTCTTTCACTCTTTCTCAAGCAAATGTACTACAACACAAGATATCCAGTCACTCAGAAATCTTTCTAAGTTTAAAGTGTAAACTCAAAGTAGTTAAAAAATCATTTTCTCCTAAGGGCGTCGATATTTGAAAAGACCTTACATCTTTAAATAACTGTATTTGCATAGATCTTCAAGCAGGTGAAAAGTTATCTACTCTGTATACGAGAAATTGAATAATTTTCCTTCAAAATATTTTCCTCTAACAAAGGTATGATTAGCTTTTTCATTTTTGTTTTCCTTAATTTCCTTCCTTACGCGAACGTTAAACCTTCCTAGCGTAAGATTATTCATGCTGTTAAAGCAACAAACTACTTTGGATTACAAGTCTCTAGGTCAGAAAACCCCACGATAAGACAAAACAGTTGGACCAAACTGTTAACAAAAGTTAATTGATGATGTAAATTGGTTTCTGTGAAGAGTTTTTTCAGGCTGACGTTCCGAGCGTTATCCCTTCGTTAGAGCGTTAGCTTTAGAGACCCTCTATGGTGACTAATTTGCATTATCAACTCAGTTGATGAAACCATTTATCTCGTGATACCCCCAACGACGCAGCACCGCGGTCTTACTTAATTTACTCATTTGTGAAGAAACGCTGCTCAGCGGGCAGAGATGTTCAGGAATAGAAGATTATAGACCAGTTATAAAAGTTTTTCAGAAACATGAACTTCTAACGAGCAAGCAAGAATCCCAAAATGGCGCATTATTAGTTCAACTGTCCTTTGTAGAGTACAAATGAACACGCGAAACGAGTACAAGTATCACGCGATATTTGTACTCCAGAAATATCCGCGAAATTTGTCCGCACTGAAATAACAATTTGGCGCGTTGGATAATAAATCTCTTATTAGTCGGTTTGTTGTGTAGTATCGCTGAGCATTTTTACTTATTGTTTGTATTTTGACGAGCCCTACAGGCTCGTCAAAATACGGCACAACTCGTAAAAATACTCAGCGATACTACACAACAAAACGTCTAACAAGGTAAATTTATCATCCCTTATAGAACTCGCACGCGCAAACTGAAAGGCAAAATATTTATTTTTTTCTCTAACCTAAAGTCATCGTTATTCTTTATTGATTGATTCGCCTGCAGGCAAAATAGGGGTTTTGATAAACCATAATAAGATGAATGTCGAGTCATTTCTACACTGTTACTGCAAAACAAGAAAAAGGTTCGTTGCCTCGTTCAGTTTCACAGAATCATGTCTGCCACGATAAAAATCAAGCAAGTTAATCAGCGAACGATGTATCTTTTCTCTTCAAAATCCACGACATCGAACCTTTACCCAATTTAACAGAGTTGGGCATGAAAAGAAAGGAGAAATAGAGAGTTATGACTTGCCTAACCAGCCAAACAAACTTTTAGGTGTAAAACGTACGCGTTCTCATGTTATTAAAACATCATTTAGGGGGTTTGCGTTGCCACGATGGCAACGTCTGGCTAAGCAATTAAATAATGAACTTTCATTCCACTGGAGGGGTTTTGCGAATAGTATAAGGGGCTTATCTACTTAAACGGCACCAGATCTCCCCATCTACTCAACATGTGAGTGGAACGCCTGGTTTGAAGTTGAAACGCCAATCGCTTGTCTCCAGGTTATCTGTCCCAAGGCGGTGCAAAATTAGGTGATTTTGTTGTTGTTTTACATTCACTACCCATAGATACACTAAATCTTAAAACGCACACGAGATCTATCATTTCGATAAACTGTCGTTGCCAACGCCGTCATGGTTAACTTCCAAATGATATTCTAAATCAATTGGTTACAGTGCGTTGCTTGACAGAAGCTATAGAGTAGCCTTGACGGGGTGTGGAAAAAACCTGGACTTTGTAACAAACTTAAACTGAAGTTTTCCGCTTTTTTTGTCAAAACCTGTGGGTCTAGTTGTATGAAGGGCGGATAAATCGCTCTCCAGGGGCTAAGTGAATGCAAAACGTATTGCGCTATCCACCGCATAGAGATTTCTCCGTTGGATAGCGTTATCAAACCTTCGAACAACCGAGGCCAGTTCACGAAGATTTCTCCAGGCTATCGAGTTTTTGACAATCGAGCTTAATATATATATATATATATATTTTTTTTTTTTTTGTTCTAATTTAGTACAGCAAAACTTTAATGGGAAAGAGGAAAGCGGACTAAGTTCACATCAAACGATCACGCAATGGCTCTATTCGTCAAACGTGGAAAAATTTTTCCTCAGTGTATAATTGGTGAAGGATCTCTCTCCTTGTACAGAGAGTTTCAACTCTCCTCTCTAAGGAGAAAACGCACAAAAAAATTGGAACTTTCGTGAACAGTTAGACAGCCACATTCTGTTTATCCCTGGGCTCTTATATACTAAAATATACTCAACAATTGAATAAAACATAAGCACACCTTGAAATGGCTTTTTGCTTGAAGGCTGTGTCTTCAAAAAATATCCAAAGAAAAGAGAAATTGGAAACTTTTGCTTTAGTGAGAGTTAAATTGCTACAAGTTTTTTATCGATCGCGGGTGCTTTTATGGTCTAAGTGTTCTCAAGAAATTTTAGCCCAAAGAGTAATCAATTGGAAAATGCGATATTAAAACAGTTCGGAAGTCTCCTCTTGAAGGTAAAAAAAACATTAAATACTTAAACCTTTTAGTTGAATTGAATAGCGTACAACGTCGATTCGTAGTTGAATGTAACATGTGGAGGGAAACTTGTACGTAAATGGTAACAAATTTTAATGTGTTATGCGCATCAAAACTTTCAATTTACCAAACTTTTGCCTGCTGTTTAACAATTCACTTATCAGATACAATTTTTTTTTTTGAGGTATAAGAACGATTTCACTTAAAGCGTCACAAAAGCAATTTCTTGCACAGATGTTTTCTACCCTACTTTGGTTAATGTTGTCAGTCAGACGGAAGCTTTCGATTTGTGTCCATGTAACAAAACAGTTTGTCGAAAGTGGCTATCCATCTAAATTTTCTAGCGCCAAGAGAGTGGTTCAAACTCGTGATATCAACAGCCGATGTCTTCCATCTTAAGTTAGGTTTCTGTTTACAGTGAAGTAGATCTAGATGCTGTCCAAGTTTGTTTTGGCATGAAAACTGCATGGCGAAAATGGATGTGAATCTCAATTCTGAGCAGCAAAAAGTAATCTAAACCCCGTATTAACTCCACAAATCGATTTATTCTACTTTTAGTTTGATGAGCGATGTCATTTGAGCAGCCGGAAAGCTAATGAATATTGTTTCTGGTACAATACAATGGAATGAAATGAAAATGCATTAAACTCTCCGACGTTAATATTCAGGTGGACGATTTATAGGTCTACATCGTAAAACTTATGTCCAATTTGTCTCGTCAATTTATTCATGCGGATGTTTAACCGTAATTAACATTCAAATACTTTTAAATTTGCACGGAGTCTTCCCCACACTCAGTAATACATTATTGTTAACGTCAGATGAGAGGATTTAAACCACAACGCTTGCATCTGTATTTTTGTCTTTAATTTATTGCCTTTTCGCTTCGTTTAACTGCCTGGCTACTGAAAAATAATGAATAACAGAGAATGAACAGGTTCGCATCTTCAAGTAATACAGCAACGGAGAGATTGTTTTTTTTCGAGCACAGAATATTTCCAAGGTTCCTTCGTGTGAGTTTACTTATACTAGGTTGAATTAGATTGAACTTCGATTGCGCTTCTTATAAACTTACAATCTCGACCTCGTAAAATAACCTGGTAAAACACGCAAAAATTATGTATAAGTGTTTCTTTTTTTCCGTTTTCGACCGAGAAATCATAAAGGCTATGTTTAACTCTCTCCGTGGTTATTTTGAGAGGAGGTGGTCACATTTTGAGAACATTACAGAAATACGATATCTAGGTATCATCTACGCCACATGGTCTTTTTGGATGATACAACGCAGAGTTAATCCAGATATTTAAGGGGTTTTAGCTTACTTGTTTTCCCGATTCGATACTGAATTTGAACTGCAGTTTGATTCGCTCCTAAACGCGATTCAATTGTGACTCGGTTGAGTGCGTAACGCGGAAGAGCGTTGTTTACATAACACGGACGCAAAGGTAGACTTTCCCACGATAGGTGCAAACGCTTGTTTACACCTACTCTCTTTATGGCAAATAAAATAAATCTGGAGAATAGAAAATAAAATAAACCATGTGAAAGGAACCAGATGTACTTTCAGTTTATTTCCTGAATTTATCGTGGTATTTTATGCAAAGTTTTCTGAAGATAAATTGTTTCCTTGCGTCAGTGGGTGCTAAATTATGTCCTAATTGACTATATTGGTGGAGAACGATAACTACAACTAAGTCTGTTACTGGCGCCCTGAAAACTTATTTCGTTACAGGCTTGCGTGTTTTATCTAAAAAAAAAAATTGAATATATAACCCATTTCATTATTCTTGAATAATGAAAATTTTTCCCAGTATTGCGTAATGTTAAAAACTATTTAAGTCCCCGTTAAGACCTATTAATTCTTTTGAATTAGTTATGAATTAGTAAAAAAAGAAGACTACAATTTACTAATAAGAAAAGCGTAGGAGGAGTGGGAAAAACTCACGAAGTTGCCCTTTAAACAAACGTCACAGCCTTGTTGATAACACAAGTTTTCGGCCCGCAGCTGGAATGGAAGGAAAGAAACATCAGAACCCGAGCAAATATCTCAAACTATGCTTGATAAATAGCTTGTGGCTGTGTTTGTCGTTCTTCCTCCAACTTCGAGGTATGTTAAGCTGGAATTATTTATTGCTAACATATCTAGTTTTGGATACAATGTATATATGAAGTTCATATATCTAGTTTTGTTGAGCTGACTGTACTAAAAATCCGAAAACGGTCTCCGAACTTTAAGGAGGTTTTAAGGCAGCGACTTTGTAGACGCAAAATCAGCTGCATGCGTGATTGTGATATCCGACACTCAAACTTTCTCCTGAAATATCAGCGTCCGCAGATGCGTCTGCAAAGTTTCAAACACCACGAAACTTCGACGCTCATTTCTATTCAGGGTTTTTCTTTTATGACGAGCACCTCCCATTCCAGGAGAACAAAATAATTAGCTCTGATTATAATAACTATTATATTTTGCTAGTAAATAAATGAAAGCTGCTACTCCAAAATTTCAGTAGGCTATGACATGAAAATTTAGGTCTGGAAATTTACACTGAGAGGATCCGTTTAACGTCTCTATTGTTCATAAGAGTCTCAATCATATTTTGAATCACGCGTACATAATGTTACTTTTTCTCGGTTGAGAACTATTGGGCAGCTGTAATACTTCAATCGTGCAGGGGAAGGCTTCACGTCAGGTATATCTTCTGTATGCCATACCCCGCCTTTATCACTTTTAATTGCTTAACACCCAAAATATATATGCTCAAGATTTGCTTTTAGCAATAAGTTTGTTCATCTGTTTATTTGCATATTTATTTATTACTACAAAAAAACTCTACAAAAAATCATGAACAGAGGGGCATTGGAAGAAATAGGATTAACAAAACTTTGTTGTTGCGAATCAGTTTTTTCAAGTTACATAAGCGAGTCTTTATCGAAGTAAAATGAGCTTAATTCTACGACGAAATTTAAGAAGATCTTCTGTGGCTTTCGTTGGAGCTTTTAGGAGAAAATGAGCTAATTTTTGGGCTAATGCCAAAAAAAAAAAAAAAATCTAAATATTATAACAGACTCTTCAAATTAAACTTGTTTCTTTTTCCAAAACGGCTGCAATTAAAAAGGATGCCATGTTAACTTAGCTCTAAAAACCCTCAAAATGTTTTGTCTCTGAAAGGAAATTATTTTTTCAAGTTTGAAAGAAAATGTAGATATAAACATGTTAACAGCATGAATATTCTCATTGTTCGTGAATTATGAAATATTGACGATGTGTAATAAAGCGATTTTTAATTTTCATGAGTTCGGTTTTTAGTCTGTTCTCTTTTTTCATTATAATTGCAACTACCACGACCAACCGCAGATATTGGCTGGTAATTAACAGCTGGCAAATTGGAGTAATGAACACAGTGTGACTTCAATGTGTGTAAACGACAAGTGTTCGAGTAATTATACTGTTATGATCAAAGGTAAAATTTGTACAGCTAATATGTCAAAATTATGCCGTATGTGAGCAAAGCAAGTAATTAAGTTATAAAACAAAGTACTACTGTTGTGGCTGAAGATAACCGTTATATTGCTGAGTCAAAATCCGTAAGGTGCCGAAAATGAATTTGAATATATCTTAATGACTCTGCGGTTTCATTGCACGGTGCGCTTTCGTTGAAATACTTCAGTTTGCTCGAGAGCGAGGTTGTCTCCATAAAACCCCTTTAATTTTTTCTAGGATTTAGGAATAAATTTTTGTGTCTCCAATATGATATATACAGACAATTCCATATGCAGAATAGTTAACATTCCTTGTAAACGCAAATTAGCCGGTACTTTTGAAGTAAAGAGGCAACTAAAGCAGATTTCTAAAAAATTCTAGAAAAGATAAGTATGGGATGTTTATGGTGAACGTGTAAAAAAGAAAACATGAATAGGGCAAATTTTTCGTGCCGTCCAGATCTTGTTTGACCTTTCTTTTCTGATGATTTCTTTATAATTCAAAGATATTTCGCTCTCTCATGATCCAAAAAACATCAATCTGTCAGGGTCTCTCTCAAGATTGTGCGGCTGTGTTTGTATAGTTTTGTACACGACTTGAATCTATTTTCATATTCAGTGCATTAAACTTAATATACCCTCTACATCAATCTTCAATTACACTCTATTATTTTGCAATTACACTGCGAAGAGTACAAATAACGCCCAAGACGAGTAAAAATGTCACGCGGTACTTATACTCTAGAGGACCGGTTAGACAGGTTTTCTCCCATCGCACAAGCGAAGAATTGGATTGAAGTGACAAAAAAAATGGCGGACAGTTTGTATCATTTTTCTGACGACGAAGAGTCAGAATGGTATGTGTATATTGACCCACGTTTACCAAATAAATCGAACGAAGAAAAGCAGTTAGGCAACAATGAATTTCACATTTATTGAAGAAAATAGAAACAGCAACGCGACAACGCGCCAATTTCGTTCCGCTTCGCACACTTCTGTCTCTGTCACAATATTACAAGAAAATCCAGAATTTGAATGAGACAAACTTTGCAGGTATTCTTTCAATTGGCGGAAGCTATGCGGAGAATAATATCTGCAACTGGCACGTGAAGTGCGGGCATCAAAGCCGGACCTTTTATCCAAATAACTATCTAGAGTAAAGCATCAAAGCCGGACCTTTTATCCAAACAACTATTTAGAGTAAATATGTCCAAATCATTAAAACTTGGTAGGCGTTCAAGATATTTCTTAGTAGGAAGGCTTGAATTAAGACTGTTATTAAACTGACCATGGGAAGAGATGACATCGCATAAATAGTGTGGAAGCTCGCGTAAGAGAGCTGCGCTCATTCTTAAGTTTACCTTAGTTGATAATACTGCTTCTTGACTTATGGTTTCTTAACTTGATGATTGCTGGCGAGACACAAGATTATCTAAATCCGTCGTACTCTTTATTGCGATGGGTCGAGATCCCTCGTTTTTCCTCAGCCATACTATCGAGTTTTTGGTCCAGCAAAATGTATAATTGAACCTTTCCTTGAATTTTTTTGCATCAGACAGCAAGCCTTGAAGACGTGGAGTTAAATGAGCGCAAATTCCAGCATGCTCCAAAGAGACATTTCCCGGAAGGCCAATGCTTGTTGGGTTGATTTTGCTAACCTCCTTTCGAGATACCATGTCTTGCTCACGGGTAATCCTTCGAGTAAATTTACAAATTATAGGTTTGGGTCGCCCTTCGATAGCATGACGCGGTGTAATCCGGTGAGATAGATCAATGTCGTATGGTTTTACCTCCACACCAATTCCATTAAAGATTCTTAAACGAAGCTGTGACGTATCAGAAGCATTTTCATTAGGGAGCAGGGATGGCGCAGTGGTGAGAGCACTCGCCTCCCACCACTGTGGCCCGGGTTCGATTCCCGGACCTGGCGTCTCATGTGGGTTGAGTTTGTTGTTGGTTCTCGTCCTTGCTCCTAGGGTTTTTCTCCGGATCCTCCGGTTTTCCTCCCTCCGCAAAAACCAACATTCCAAATTCCAATTCGATCTGGAACAGTGGACAAGAATAGCCACCCAGTGGATGTCCATTGTTAAATCATTATTTATTTAATCATTATTTATTTATTTATTTATTTATCTATTTATTTATTTATTTTCATCCGGTCCTAGCTCAGGAACGCCTACAAGCTTGACATTGTATGAATAGCTATACTCTTGAATCTGATCGATGACCGTCGAAACTTTGGACACTTCAGTCGATAATTCCTTCAGCAATTTTTCAGGGGCAGATATTTTTTCCCAAGCTCGATCTCGGAATTTAATAAGATCGTCATATTCTTCGCTTAAGAAGTCCAGGGACTTCGATGCATCAGAATCGATTGTGACGCTTGCAGCATGGCTGCCAGTTTGATTCGACTTCAGGTCCTCCTGAACTTTCTTAAGCTCGGCAAAAACCTCCTCCACTTTTTCCTTCAGCTTGTCATTTTCAACTCTTAACGATTGCACGGTTTCCTTTACCATGTTAGACATTTATTACTCGTTTAACACAAAAAAATAAACACAAATCTCAGAGCTCTCTAAATTGCATCCGCACGCTACACAAACATACGCACTCCCGGTAAATAAATAAAGGCTGATAGTTTCGAAAGAAACTGTTTGGGGCTGCGTCGGTGGGAGTAACGAAATGATTTGGATATATCAATATATATTCCGTATATTTGGATATATCAATATATATTCCGGAATATATATATCAATATATATTCCGTTGCCACTTAGGTGGCACGGAAAGCCGTAAAAATCTTGAACAAAAGCTCATCTTTCAAACCGGCAGTCTAAATCCCACTGGGATCAATGAACGCTTTTCATTCCACTAATTTATTCATGTTTTGCTCGTTGCCATGCACCCACCAATAACGTAGCTCCATTTTCTGCCTTTAAAAGCACACACAACCCACAATTCCTCTATTCGCTCCGACGAAGGGCTAACGCTCGAAACGTCAGCTTTTGTAATCATTACGGTGGCCAATTTACCATTTCAACTTTGTTGATATATCCAAATTATCCCGGTAAATAAATATTCGCAAAATTCGCCCGCATTAAAATAACAATTTGATGTGTTGGATAATAAATAACTTATTAGACGTTTTGGTGCGTCGTATCGCTGAGTATTTTTACTTGTTATTTGTATTTTGACTCGTCCTACAGGCTCGTCAAAATACGAATGAATAAAGGCTGATAGTTTCTAAAGAAACTGTTTGGGGCTGCGTCTGTAGGGGTAACGAAATAATTTGAATATATCAACAAAGTTTAAAGGGTAAATTGGCCACCGTTACGATTATAAAAGCTGACGTTTCGAGCGTTAGCCCTTCGTCCGACGAAGGCCAGTCGTTAATGGAACTCTCAGGCCAACAAAGGTGCACCGCGCCAGGAGGAACAATAAAGATTCGCAGTCCAAACCCCACAGCCAACACGAACGTAGAAAGTTTAAAAAATTGCGAGGATGGACAACTTCTGACGTAAAAAATATAAAAAAATTTAATAAAAAACCTTTCGGTCAGAGACCTTCTTCAGTTATTTACAACTTTTGAAATAAAAAGAGCATTAAGTAGGATCGAAGTGCTAATGATTACGTAATTACAGATAACGACTAATGAAAAAGTTACCTCTCCTTCTCTAAACGCCAAAACTGAACAATTAATTCGACGAAACAGTATACTGACCGAGGCCAACCACCCAATTCAAATATTGCGGACTCCTCGAAAGCCTCCTTTCCTGTGAAAGATTTTGTTCACTTTTAATGGCAATCAGAAAAGTCAAAACTCATAGGCATAGCGAAATGAAAAAAAAATGGATTGACAACGACGCAAAACTTTTTAAGACCTGCACTCACAACAAAATCCAAGGACTTGCTAACGAGTAGTCGGCCATATTTGCATCGGGTCTCTGCATCCGTCGATCTGAGCTACTGTTAATCCCAATCTGTTACTCTGAAGCTCAGCACGCTTGTTCATATTCAGATCTCGGCCAGTTTGAAAATTTCAAAGGTCTGTAGGTCAGCAAAAGTTACCTCTTTCTCTAAACGCCAAAACTGAACAATTAATTCGACGAAACAGTATAATGACCGAGGTCGACCAGAGACCAACACCGCGATGCCCAGTCCGAAATTCTAACCAAACACAATCCAGAATCCGGGTCAAAAATTTCAGGAGATTCGCGATCCACATAAATGTTTTCAATCAGCGAATTCATGGATTTTAAGAAATGATTTCAATTTAAGGCAAGGAAGCAATTCATTTTCGCTCCGTATAAACGTTTTTATACGTTCACCATACTATACATTCATTTATTCATTTATTTTTTTTACCTTATTTTATATTTATTTGTCCGTCTATTTATTTCCTATTCTATGTCTTTTCTTCAGATGTTTCATCCCAAAGTTGTGATTCAAAGTCCTCGTGTCTCCCATCGGACAGCTGGCAACACTCCATAAAGAAGGCGAACCCAGGCTTCAATATAACTTTTAATGGCTCTCTCATCGCAACACCTGCACCAGGTATGACTTGGAACAGGAGGAAAAGCTTATGAATAAAAGCTGGAACTCCTCTGATCATTCTTTGAAGTAAACTAAATTCAGTTGAAAGTGGAGAACTTTATTTTAAAGTTAACCTTTCGTCGGAGCGACAGACGAAGGGCTAACCCTCCCAACTTCCGCTTTACAAACTCTTTACGATCGACAATTCACATCATCAACTTAGTTGATAAAAATAAATATCATCTTGTAACATCCCACGTCGACGCAGCAGCGCGGTCTGTTTAGAAACCTACCCACTCAATTCATTTATACTCTCGACTGTGAATCTGCGTTGAATTCTTGACAAAAGAGAGGTGTAATTCAACCGTTGAATGTACCTACCACTTTGCGCCTTCGTGGCCCAGCGGAGGTGGTAATTCAGCTATTCTGTGAATATCAACCAGTCTCTTGCTGCGTAATGAATTAGAAATGTTTCAATTCTCTTCAACGTTCACCTAAATCGGCCTCCATTAGACTTATTCTGATACTTTTATAGACTGATTCTCCAATCCTTGACTGAATTCATGTTCATTAAAATGAGACTAGCCTGGCCTTGGCCGTTTCCATCCCCTCTGGTGCAATCTTGACAAAAGTGGCTTATATGTGTGGCTACCTTGTCCATGCTGGGTGGGAGGGGAGGGGAGGGGAGGGGAGCTTTCAATAAGTTGCCAAAGCCTGTACTCCATTTTCAGTGAATAAAACAATGCGTGATAAAGTCATCGACGCGATAGAAGCGGAGGAGTGATTAAACCAGGGCCGGGAGGCTTGGGTCTGGTCGCGTAATGAATGACCCGACCCTGATCTCCCTCGTTTTCGCTCTGCCGATACCATGGCGCCCTTTACTATTTCGCACCATTTTATTGAACGAACCCTAGAACAGACTTGAAACATTGATGACATCCATTTTCATGAAACTTTGCTTAACAGATTATTATCAATGTTAACTTATGTCATCTCTCAGAGTATGCGCATCAACGTGGATGGATTACTAAGCAGTGGTTCAACGTGTCTTTTCTCTCTCCCTTAGAAGCACTGAAAGTTTATTGTACTGCGACCACACCTGACTTAATTATTCCAGGCGAGGAGAAGAAAATATGGTGCTGTTTTTCGGGGTGGCCTCGCCCTCGACTTGTCCATTGGTACAAGAATGGAGAAGAAATTGTCAACGGATCTCAGAGAATTTATCAATATCAAAGTAGTAAAGGAAAATGTCTCAAAAGCACTCTTCACCTTCCGCCTGGTCGAGAGGAACTGGACGGAGTTTACGAATGCAGTGCAAGCAACCAGGGGTCGAGAAACGTCTCTGAGAAACTACAGCTAAATTACCAATGTAAGATTTTCAGATCTGATTAAAGTAAAAAAGTGGTAGTAAATTTGCGGTTTGAATTTCCTATTCAGAAAGTTACTTATCCACAAATTTTCCAGCATGAGTTTGATTTCTAAGAATAATAGTTTGAAAAATCAATGCCGACCTTAGCATTAATTTTTTTCTCGTCAACATTAATTATAACAAAATACGTTTCGCAGAAGTCTTAGCGTAGAGTAGTTGCCTAAAATATAATAAAAAAACAGGCGCCGCCTGGTTAGCTCATGTTGTAGAGCGCCGAACTGCCGTCCAGGAAGCCCCAGACCAGACCAACACTCAAGATATTAAAACAAAGGAGGATCTGCTACCTTTGCTATGACATCTGCAAATGTTTAGACTTTCTAGTCTTCTCGGATAAGGACAAGAAACCGTCTCTTGCATCTTCTTCTATAATGGTTAGTCGGGAACGTTAAAAAACCCACACACCTCTCACAAACCGTAGGTGACGTAGCTCCCGGTCTTATCACGGATCTGGCTTTGTTTCCAAAAATTCCTAAACTGGGGTCAAAATTCCCTCTCAAACAAATTGTGAACTGCGCAAAGTGGTCTGGCTAAAGTTCCCCGCTAAATGTAATTAAGTGCATTCGAGCGCATTCCTATGGAGAATGTGTTATATAAATGCTTCATTATCATAACATTATTATCATTATAATTATAATTTGCTATTTCTTTTTTAGGTCCTGTTAATATTCTACAACGCCCAACCATTTCCAAATCGAAATTGAAATTTTCTACTTTTAAGTTAACTTGCCGATACGGGAAGAATGATGATTGTCCCCACCATATATGGTGGTATCGAGAAGGAACGGAAAGAGAGCCTTTGGTTAATAGTGCAAAGCACAAAATAGTAAAAAAACAAGCTGAAAAGAAATGCGAAAGACTCTCTATTTTGTCCATTCTGAACGTTACTGAAAATGACGAAGGAAACTACAGCTGCAGCTGGTTCTGCGAGCATCAAGACATCTTGACATCTTTCATTTATTTAAAATTACTCCCTCCAGGTAGGTCAGTTCTTAAATTCGTAAAATGTCTGTAAGTATTTATTTGAGCTTTACCCTCTATATGGAGGTTGGAACTTATGTAATGAACAAAATGTGTTTTGAATCTTCCAAGTTGGAGCCTTCTATTCGGTGGGTAGCAGGTCTATTAATTTGCTGTCCTCTGGCCTCCTGAAAGTACACGTTAATCAACTACTTACTTAGCTTAGCTTCCCCTAACTGAACTGCCTCTCTCGTCGCTATTCTCCAACCATAAACCATATTCCCTCCTTTGCACGGATCTATCTTACTCTCACCTTTCAATCTTTGGATCTTATAATAATTCCTATCTACCCTCCAACTCTCTCTATCGCTCTTCCCTCATCCCTAGATCCTTCCCTCCTTTCTACCTACTTGCCTTCTTCCCTCCCTCCCGACCCACTTCTCTTCTTCCCCCTCAGTCTCCTACATATCTTATCACTTCCCGTCTTCCTTACCAGATCACCTCCCTCCCTCCGTTTTCGTAAATTGATATTTTTGTTACGTTGCTATTTATTTTACTTAGTGAACAAGCCTTCTTCCTTCCTCCCCTTCTCACTGACTCGTCAGGTCGAACCTTCCTTTACACTTACCCACCAAACTGCTCAAGTTCCATCCAAGCAGAGTTCATGCCCAAATGTCTTTGTGCCCTATTGATTGATGGCTGGATATTTTTCTCAGAAACCATAATTGTATGTTTGACCACAGATAATCTTACACGATTATTTTCAGAGGAGACAGATCCACCAACAGGGAACACGACCATTAGAAATCAAACAACTGAATTCAGAGTACAGCCGTCTTTTCGTTCCCCTCCGGGTCAGTGTTTTTCAGTATTTTCAAGTAACATTTTAGAGCCTTTTACGCTGAATCATTAGCTACATACCTTTTTGTTCAATTCTACAGGAGGTCGGAAGAAATGGCTTCTACCAGGCATCATTTTAACAGCAGGAACCCTCGCTGTGATCATCATGTCTTTGGTGCGATTTTTAGTCAAGAAAAAGTGTTCGTCAACTTTTAAATTGGAAAAACGTAAGTTGCAGACATCCTATTAACTGGTTCATGTAGTCTACAGATTTTCTGGAGAGAAGTACCTAACGGTACAAGTTGCACCATAGACTCAAACGTGACAGGTAGCAGTTTTTGCTAAACTGCATAAGGGGAGGAAACTGAACTTCAATGAACATCGAGCGGGCGATCTGCCGACCAACTGACTCTCCATTTGACTGACTGAGCGGTTTGTTGACTGACTGGCTAAGTAAGCGACTGAATGACTGAGACACTGGCTGACTGGCTAACTGATCATTGAACTGGCTGACCGATTGAATGACTGACTATCTAATTAACTGACTGTTTCAATGACTGGCTAATTGATCAGCTGGCGGACTTACTGACTGAGTGAGTGAGTGAGTGACTGACTGACTGTTTGACTGACTGACTGCCTGCCTACCTGAATGACTGACGGACTGATTGCCAGACTGACTGAGTGACTGACTGGTTGACTGACTGACTGACTGCCTGACTGACTGACTGACTGACTGACTGACTGACTGACTGACTGGCTGACTGACTGACTGGCTGACTGACTGACTGGCTAACTGACTGATTGACCGACTGCCTGACTGGCTGACTGACTGACTGCCTGCCTACCTGAATGACTGACGGACTGATTGCCAGACTGACTGACGAATAGATTGTCTGACTGACTGACTGACAAAGTGATAGATAAATAGATAGACTGGTTTATTAAAATCACATCGCAGTAAAATACTGAATAGCGCAAATTTTACAAGCTACTACTATACAAATATAAAATATGAGGACTTAAAGTTCTATTAAAAGTTCTATTACATCTCAACTTGGGTTGGCTACAGCCGTACCCTTCACGAAAAACGAATTAGCGAAACGTTTAGTCTTGGCTGCTGGTACATTGTACGTTCTTTGGCGTCTTAAATTATAATGAGGGCTATGGGCTTCAGGAATTAAGTAATGTAGTTTACTGTTCTGATTCTCGCTGATTGATCTAAATAAAGACTTTGTAATGTCTT